TATCTTATTCCTATCACCATATTCCCCTGATTTTAACCCAATCGAATTAGCATTTTCAACCATCAAAGCTTGGCTCCGACGAAACAATGATTTTGTACGCACTTGCAGCGATCACGTTTATCCATTACTTCTTGCATGTTCACAAATTACGCCAGAAATGGCAAAAGGATATTTCAATAAATCACTTTATTCTTAATACTGAAATATAATGATAAAGATAAATGACATAATCTATGCCTAACATATAACGGTCGAAGCCAGAAACGTAAATTGATCACTGTGCATATTGTCACGGGCTATCCGGAAGCCCACACTACGAATCGTTACGGTTTGGTCACAATAAGGTAAGTCTTTAACTCTTGAGGCATGTTTCTGATTTGGCCATCCTCTCACTTAACTTCTCTACCGACTAGCCTACTTTTATCACACTCAGATTTATCATTCTTGTAAGTAGGCTCCATGTTCGGTCCATTCTCATCGTGACTCTTGCCAGGTGATGTCATAGGTTCTTCCTTCGAATTCTCATCAGGTGGTTTTGGTGGTTCCCACCTTGCGAGTAAGTGTATGACGGAGTTCATGTAGTTTCCTTCATCGGCGCTGTGATACCCTCTTGATCCTCTTCCTTAGATTTATTCCCCGTTGGTTCTCCTTTCTCTCCTAATAGTGATGGTGATGCTGTCTTCGTCTCTTCTCGCTCTCGTCTTGCATTAACCGAGGTCATATTCTCATTCGTTTGGTTAGCAGATTCCGAGTTCAGTTTTTCCTTGGTGTCGATTTCCTTGTGGTTCTCGTTAGGCAGCATCGTTGGTCCTCCTTCTGGTGCACCCTCGTCTTGTCTCTTTGTCAGTATGGTCTTACCTCGTCCCTTCGTTGGTTCCGGGTTTGTCTTGTATGGCCCATGCTCCATATGCTCTTTGACCCGGTTTGCTTCTCCAATCATCTCGTCCAACATGGCGTCTCTCTTGATGGCAAGCGCTGATGCGATCTTCTCTCTCAAGCCTCTTACGAACGCTCTTACTTTATCACTTCCAGATTCACCATCATCGGGGTCAACTCTTCTCAGCAGGTTCCGAAACTTACAAGCATATGATGCCACTTTCTCATTCTCACCTTGCTTCAGCTTCACAAGCTCTGACAGCTATTGCCGTCGCTGCTCAAGCATTACAAAGCATCGAAGGAAGGCTGGCACAAAGCTTCTTTTTCGGTCGCCTCTGTGGTTTCAGTGCTCAAGGCGGTCCTGGCAGACTTTGTACCAGTCTGCTGCACGTCTCTCCAGGTAATCTGTTACACATCTTAGTTTTTGCACACTCATCCAACCGTTGGTCCTTGTGCCTTTTTCGTATGCGTCTAACTAGGAATACGGGTCTTCTCCTTTTTTACCTTTGAATTTAGGTATATTAATCCGCCGAATTTCTCCATTTTTTTCAAAGCTGGTGAGGGCTTCTACTAGTTCTTGTAAGATTTTAGTTGCATTGTCGTCCAACATCGTCGATCAGGATCATCACGGGTTTATTACAGGTTTGTCAAAAAAGGTAAGTGTTTAAATTAAAGTTTGTTAATTATGATCAATGCTCTTACTAATATGGTGTTTGTCTTAATTTATCGGGAGGGGGGGGTAAACGAATGTCGTTTTAGAATTATTAATGTCTGAATCTCACAGTTCATCACCAAATGTCACGGGCTATCCGGGAGCCTACACTACGAATCGTTATGGTTTGGTCACAATAAGGTAAGTCTTTAACTCTTGAGGCATGTTTCCGATTTCACTTAATTTCTCTATGCCAATTCCCTTAGGCAATTTTCGGTTCTCTTTTGTAGTCGCGTAGCCCAAGTTACAAGTCTTTGGTGCACACTAAACACAAGGTAAGAGTTTATACTTGAACGTTACTTTATTGTAAATGCTAGTAGTCTAGACTTCACTAAAACTAATTATATGCTATCGGGTTGCACATATATTTATACATGCACCTGTTATTTGCATGTCTATACTACTCTAGAAACTTCCCACCTCTTAAATTTCTCACACCTTAATTTCCTATCATTTTCCCATAACAACACTACCTCTATTTTATCCACGACAATATTTTGATGCAGCTCGTCTCAAGACTTTTTGCCATCCGATTTTCTCGATACCTAATTTTTCGAAATCAGTATCAGTAAGTTCAGAAATAAATTGAACCAGCACTTCCTGTTCCATAAAAGAAGTTTCAAAGCATGTGTAAGTGCCTTCTCCATATGTTTCATCAAGTTCATTCAGAAACTCTTTTATTGATGGTACTTTCTTTAGAGGCGATGAAACAACTGAGTGAGATTGCGGAGATAATGGTGGAAGAGAGGGATAAGGTGGAATATATGTATAGTACTGGGGTTGTAGAGGTAGATATGGCTGTTGAGTAGGCTGTGACGGTGTACGTAGTTCTTTACTGGAGCTCATGCCAAATAGTGGTAACGTTGATGGATTTTCTATTGATCCTCCATGCAACTACAAAATAAAGCAGCTTATAAGTTATAAAACTGAAAAGATTTGTATGAAAGACTGTTATCTTATAATTTCATAAGCCCAAAGTCGAAGATGCGATGGTGTCAATCTGAGATGATGATGATTTTGAATATAACATGGTCAATTGTGTGATATACAGTGATACTTTTTACGTAACAGGGTTATCGTTTCAGCAATACATAGCTTATCTGCATCGAGATCATTAAGTTTAGGTATTCGCTTTTTTTTTTTGGATATGGTAGTTGCTGATGAAGTAGATGATTCACTCTCTTCTGACTTGATATCCTAAATTTAAACAATTCTTAATAGATGTAATATCATTTTTTTTTCAAAATAAATTGTCATACCTACCTTTCTTTTTTCTTTATTCTTTATCTTCTCTATCTTCTCTTTCTTCCATTTTCTTGTTAACAATGCTATAACCATCATTGACTTATTTACTTTTTTCATGCATTTGTACTCATCAAGAAATTTCTCAAAATCGCACAAATCCATTAATTGTGTACCTGCCCCA